ACGAAGCCTTGCAACTACGCCCAATTTCACGCACGCTGGTTGAGGGGCTTGGTTGTCCTCTCGATTAGCACTTCGTAAAGTTCGAAGCGGGTGTACGAATATCGAAGGATCTGCGAGCTGTTTGTACAGTGCATCCAGGAAGGCGAATCCTTCTTTGGTGAGCGTCCTTGAGCCCAATTGCAGGAATTTCGTGAACTCTTCCACGGCGACTGCAAGAGCAGCATTATCCGTCGAATCAAGGACCGAAAGCTTGAGTTTCTGCAGCTGACTGGCTTTCTTCGTTCGTACGGGAGTGCGGGGTGGAAGGGGTTGGCCATTTGGCTTCAATCTATCATCCTCGGAGCTGTCGCTTACGAATATGATTTGGCTAGGCTTTTTGGCGGTATCTTTTCGCGCAGGGGCAGGGACATTAGTTTGGTCCCCAAGTATTGGACGGGGCGGGTTGAGCTGGAGCTTAGCCAAGTCATTCAGGACGTTCTCCATCTCATCTGCATCAATCGTGGGCCGTGCAGGAACAGGCCGTGAGACTTGAGGTTGAACCTGAAGAAAACAATGAATAAACACAAACTCAGGCGCACTGACAAACCCTCGTACCTTGGGAGCTGGCGGTGGTGGCCAGATAAAGCGCTCGATGTCGGTGAAGCCACTGTCCTGTGCAAGCTCCTGGAACTCGTCCTTCCAGTGGTCGTAATCAGGACAGTCAAAGAACTTCAGCCGTCTGCAATACCGCAGGAACTCTTCGAACTCAGAAGGCAATCCTTTGCACAGGTCTTCAGGACGAGCACTCTTTTTCGCTCGCTTGATGCGATCGTGCGCCGCGTCGGTTTTCGGTACACCATTCCGTGTCCAAGAGAGTCCTCCAGGCGTAAGGAGATGTATGAACATCAATGCAGCGGCCTCGAGATCATCTCGCCTAGATGGTACTGCGAGAGTTTCAATAAGTAGCCGTTACACATAAATAAACTTAGGATGCTGACCTTTGCCTTTACAATGCACGTTGACAGACGTAAACCAGTAGTTTCCCAAGAAATCTCTCTTCTGCTTTGAGTCTGGAATATGCCGCCGGGTGTATGGATCGATATAGCGTTTAGAAAACCCGAAGTCGATCATATAGATGGTTTCTTCTTCAGGTGTCAACCCGATAGCACAATTCCCAAGTTGTATATCGCGATGCAAAACTTCGCGGTTATGCATGATCTGCAAGCGTGCGATCTGCACATTCGATCGATGTCAAAATTATACCATCGATCAGAAACCAGCGAGCAAACTCACCACCTGGATCGCAATAGAGCATACACTGCGCAGATCTATCCTCTGGTTCCCCCATTGTAAATTTTGTCGGTAGATACTCTCCAGACTCTTTCCGAGGAGACTTATAACCAGATAATGCCATTTTCCCTCTATACCGCTTGCCCATAACCGAGGCATACCCTCTCCTCCTTGCAGTAGAGGGTAGATGGCTTGCTCATAGCGATTTGTTGGGCACTCGTGGTCGACGTCTTGTACTTTGAGCGCAACGAGAGTGCCATCGTGAATATGACATGCCTTGAAGATAGAGCCTGGGATGATATGGTCTAGGTGAGGATTCACAGTGTTGAGTGGGCTCAGTACGTACCCGAATAGCCTGACCCAAGTCGGTCTTGCAGCCAGTAGTTGCCCATTCTGCGAGGAATAGTATCTGAGTTGTGTGCCATTATACCGGCTAACCACTGGTCTCAAGTTATAGAGGTATTGTTGGTAGCAGGGTTGAAGTGACGAGTGACCGACAGTGAAATTAAATGAGGGTTTTATGGCTGAATCTAACGTGGGTATTGAAGCAGCACAATACTAATATTGTGGACAGTGGGTCGATTCGGATTGTGAACGATAAGTTGATTCGGATTAGAGTGGTCGCTGGTGGTTGACGCGCCAATTGCCTGGAACGCGTCAGTCACGTGTCAGGTTGAAATGTACGGACCGGATGAGGAACACCCCTTTCGGTCCGAACCCCAGGTGTAGAATCTGTTCGCATTTTCCTCACATTTTTAGTCACAACACGATCATCAATGGCACAAAACGGAGTCGTTTTTTTTGTAATACTACAGTAGTTATACATTTCGAATGCACGAAAAACATTTGGTTAATGATTCAAACTTGCCCCGCCGCCATCTTCGCAGTCAAGTCTGCGGCAGCTTGCAACGCACGGGGTGTGTCGTACTTGTCCATGATTACTTCGACCAACTGTATCTTCCCCGCATTGGCGAATTCGTCATCGTCGAGAAGCTTGTTGAGCTCTGACTTGCTGCGGACCATGTACGACTTTGACATCTTGCCCTCCATATCACCGAGAGTAGTGAGGAGCGAAGTCCATTTCCTGAGGGAATGTTTAAGCAAAACACAAATTAAGAGAGCAACAGGTATCTTACCAGTCTGCAATGTCGTTGTACTTCCTGTAGTAATTCGTGAGCTGTCATGTAAGGTGGTCTGTCTTATTAGTGACCACTCACCTATCTAGGCCGTGCAAGTGCCTCTCGATGTTGTAGCCCTTGTTGTTCAGCACGAAGATTATTGGCGTCAACTTGTGACGGGTCATGGTTGAAATCTCTTGCACAGTCAGTTGCCTGCCACACAAGATATTCAAGTAAAATTCAAGCACAATGGACGAACTACGTACATGCTACCATCGCCAGTGAATAGTATGGTGCGCCCAAGACATTTGTCGCGGCCCGCGAGCGCTGCACCGAGTGTACAAGCTACAGCCATTTCCGTCAGATGCGGGTCCAGTAAAAACTTCGCAATATTTACCGGTTGCCCATCCAATGCTTCCATACAAGATTTGGCTGACGAAAACGGACTTGTCGGGCATTGGAACGTCCAAAACTCCAAAGTTTGAAGTGCCTAGATGTATGGTTCGCTCTATATTTTGAAGGAGAATAGATGAGTTTCGACTCACCAGTCTCAGCAACGATGATATCCTGCTTCCGGAAGAATTTGCCCACCCGAGGCCAGAAATAGGCATGCGAAATCTTGTCGTCACTTTCCTTTGGAACATCTAGCTTATAGTGCGGAACAGGGATTCGTGATGCGCCCTCCTGATATTTACTCAGCCTCTCCGTGAGCTTCGGGAGAAGCGACTTCATTCCTATACCCGGGAATTTTGCGTGGCGAACAAGTGTATGGTCGGAGTGTAGCTGCAAAAATCACCTAAGCGTCGAAAACTGGGGTGTCACGGAAAATTACCTCGATAGTGTGCGTCGCAGGAATATGATACGTGAACATTCCAGTATTAAAATCTGACTTCAACGCGCCAATCGAGAGGATAAGGTTTGCGTTTTCGACCCTCTCCTTGATGGACGGATCCGTGACTGAACCGATGTAAATCTATAGAAGCGTCAGAGTGGTCTTGAGCGAAAACAGGGGTAAAAACTCACACCGCCGTATCGTTCATGCTCCTCGCTCACTGCCGTCTTGCCCATTGGTGCTGCGTATACAGGAAAGCGTGTTTTCACGAGAAGGTCGTCGACTTCCTGGCGCAAGTCGTGGCGAATAGCGCAAGCATCGACGAGGACAACGACGTCTTGTTTAGCATCATCCACGAGCTCCATAATCTCGTCGAGAACATAGCTCTCGACATTTGGGTCATTAGGAGGAGGGGCTCGTGAAAGCTCGACCTTCAAGCGCTTTGCAGAGATTTTTTCGGAAGTGAGGTCCATTGGAATAGTGAGGTAAACGGGACGAGCCTGCGGGACATTCACTGCTTGAATGGGTGGAAGCGGATAATCAGGACTTACATTAGTAATGCACTCGGTGAGGATTCGATCGATTTCGACCGCAGCTTGTGCTTTATTCATAAGTATAGCCTGAGCAATGGTGACATTTTCCGCAGCTTTCGTATATACGTCGAATCTGGTGAAGGTGAGATACTGAATCAACAAGGAAGAGGAGAAATACATACTTTCCATTGCCAAGTGTGTGGTGGAGCATGGGCTTGTTCTTCAACTGCGTAGTGCTAGGCACTCCGACGATATGAAGGACAGGGACCATTTCAGAGAACGCTGATTGATCTGTGAGTAATCCCTCGCAAAAACGGCGAGCAATAATTACCGCCTGCAACTCCGTTGATGGCACTCAATTCGCCAACGCCGAACCTGTAAATTGTTGAGGTCACTGGTAGATAATGCTTATCGACTACCGAACATACGTTGTTACAACTACGCCTATGCTGTGCTCTTTGACGCGGGCATATCCATCAGCTGCGTAAGCTGCGTTCAACTCGTTGCTATAATGGTGTAAGATAGCGTGTAGCCAACATGATGAACTAATTACCAGGTTCCGATCCATTCGATTGTGGGATGGTCTTCAATGTAGTCCTAAGGATTGAAATGTGGAATATCAGTGTTTGCGCTGTTCCTATGCGCAATAATTTACCAGGAAAGCTACACAAGATCGTCAGTATACATAAGTTGTCGATGATTAAAGAAACCATACGCATGTTGAAATCCCCCGGTACTCCGAAAATGGACTGTGTGCGAGAAATGGGCGTTGGGCTCCATGAATATGATTAATCGGACGCATACCTTCACGTTGAGCTGTTCCAATCTCTTCAAAATGTACTCAGAGACGGTGATGAGCTCATCGTCTTCGGCATGGTATTGTACTTTCAAGGTTTGAAGCTCGTGCTGAAGTCGATTGACTTCAGCATGGAGTTGACTAGCTGCAGTGTCCATGGTTGTAGTTAGATGTCAGGAGAAAGGGGGTAGTGAGATTGATGTGTCGAGAGAGAGCGTTTATATACGGGAACGACGTCATAGGGGTATCTCGCCCCGATAAGGAGGCTGGGCGCACGACGGCGATCGTGAGACATATATGATATAGGCGATGCCTTATGTAAGCCGTATCTAGGCTTCTGATGTCGTATAATTGATGGCCTGGCCATAATAATCGATATCGACCAATTGCAAGGGCCTCCTCCAAACCCATGACAGATCTCGCAAGTCCAAACAGGCCCGCATAATCCTCATTCAGTGCTTAGGATACATCTCCGTCCATTCATCATCCAGAACTCCCATATAGATAATATCTTCCCAATGTCCATCCACCCAATTTCCCCGTCGTTTTCTTCCTTCCACCTTAAAACCTCTGAGGAAAAAAGTCAAAACCTGCCTGCGTCATAAATTTATTAGTTACTCACAGTTTGGCATAAACCGCTCGTGCTCTGGCATTGCCTTCTGTAACATCCAAAGAGATGCGCTGCAAGCCGAAATATCTGAACGCATGGTTTACAGTGAAGCGCGTGGCTTCCGTTCCATATCCCTTCCCCCAGAACTCAGAGGCAATGGTTATACCCAAGCGTGCATCCCGGTTCTTCGCCTCCAATAAATTGATGCAACAGAAACCGATAAAATTCAAGGACTCCTTGTGTACCAAAGAAAACCAGAGCGCTGAGCCCTCGGCAAAAGTCTTCATATACTCCTTGTACTTTGAGGAAGGCGCAGGCGCGATAGCTGAGAATGTCTGGGTGCGTTGGACGAGGGGGTCGTTCCGCAGAGCAAGAATTTCCCCTAGATCATTATCTTGGAATCCGCGGAGGATGAGGTTCTCCGTGGTAAACATACTCGATAGAACAAGTTACGCGATGTCGAAGGGGGATGCAGCAGAGAGCAGTAAGCGCTGAGAAAGCGGTGACGGTAGAGCCTTTCATGACCATAATCGACTAATTAATCGAAACAACTCGATATTTGACTCGATTGCGGCGATACTGGCCAGTGGCATGTTGACGCGACACAACTGCACAAGTCCTGTCACCTGAGCCCGTTCTCGGTGTTTGCCGATTACCCGCGCACCTGGTACTAGTTTGAATGCCATTGGTTGCAACAAAGTTGCAGCGACCAAAATTTGGGACATCCATGCCATCCTAAATGAAGCTGGGCTCGAAGACCTACTGTTCCCAGTTAGAAACTCGTTCATGAAATAATAAATGTATGTGACGTGCCATTTCTTGAACTTTTCGAACTTTTCAACATCAACATGAGAGTGATTCCATAGCGCAACGCCCAGTCAAGCTCAGGGAAGCACATTGACTACCACCAGGCCTCTTCGATGGCGCGCGAGACGGTGTCCATGTGAGCCATTAGCGTTTTTGAATGTCTCTTGTTCTCACCTCTGTACTCAGTCCTCAGCTACGCACGGTATTCATCATCGTTCTGCTGAACATCACCATCGCCGTGCTCGCACACCCTCTTCGGGCCATCTAGTTACCATCCTCGATCGCCTTCCCTTCCTTTTTTGTCTCTCTCACTCTAACACCGACTAGGCAACCGAACTCCAGTTACACCCTAAGGCCAGGTATCTTTTGTCTTCATGGTCCTCATGTTGTTGGAGTAGCTGCAGCTTGGGACAAAATAGGTATGTTTTTCTCGTGTGCGTTCCGATCACTGTGGTTCAATGATGTCCCTGCATTGGCTGTTGTTTCGCGGCCGGAATGAGAACGTTCACACACTCAAGCTGTTAGTACTGCCACACTAGGTGCAACGCCTACGCAGTCACAACCCATCCCATAGTGGGCTTATGTCGTACTTTTTCTTGTACATCTCATCCACTGGCGAAACTAACACAGCAGCATCAGCAAGACTAATCCCAAGGCCAAGTACAGGCTCAGGCGCCATCATCGCGCTACTAGTCCCACGCCAGGTGCAGCAACCGGATGGTCATGGGCCCTTCCACTACGGGCCCGCTTCATGCTTTTCTCTGCTATGTATCTCCCTCGCATGCCGTTGGTCGCTGTTGATCGAACACCAGGTTTGTGAGCCGTGATTCTCATAAGAAAATTCAGTCTGTCGCATGATATCGACGTAGACGAAGCAGGCAGTAAAACCCCTACAAGTTATTGCAATTACCGCGACTACGGTAATAAAAGTATGTATCGTGTCCTTGCACGTTTCTTCACCAGGCGAGAAAGGGTGATACAAAATTCCGGGTCTTCACACTATGCGAACTAGTTAGCTGAATCATACTCAGTATTTCTGGTTTACACGGTGTGAGTTCTCATATAGATGATACATGGGTGTATGCTGATATAACAGCCACATGACGGCCATAGATACCTAGGACACCAAACGTCCTGAGGATGGAGGAAAGTTGATGGAACAGCATCGCACCACCAACCTTCTCCTTCTACGGGAATGCATGTGAGTTTGAACTGCAGTCCGAAGAGCAATTGACCGAAATATGATACGAGAAACTTGTGTTCGATGGATACGACTGAGTGAATATGGTGATATATATCACAAACTATCCTTTGATACTCGGGTGGAGAGTGTTATATACTGGATGATAGCGACGAGTCGCGGCCTCGGGCTCATCTGCCATGTAGACTATGGAACAACAGGTAGGGGAGTTCAGCAGGAAGCTCTGACATGAATGAACGAAAGAGTGCGGGGAGAGCATTGCTAATGCCATAAGGTGCCTGCTCGATCTTTACTTTTAAGGTTACGGCAAGTTGATAAGGTCTCTAACACATGTTGAGGGAGAGCTGGCAGCTGACCAGCACCAACCGGTCGACCGGTCTGCACATGGCTGATCGGAAGGATGTACTCAAAAGCGAAGTTCCTTTCTGGGTGAGTGGTAGTAGGAGTGGTCCCAGCGTCCTGGCACATCACGACCATTCTAAACCATCAACTGTCATAGATTCTGCAACGTGCCTCAGAAGAACACCAGGAAGAATCGCGCATACCGTACTCATGCACCTTCTTCGGGGGGTCCGAATCCAATTATCCTCGGCCGCCTTTCGTCGCTTGCTCGTCGCTCTCACCCTAACACCAATGAAGCAATGGAGCTCCAGCGACAGCCAAGGTGAACTATTTTTCTCCTCTTGGTCCTCATGTTGCTAGAGTCAACTGCAGCACGGGACAAGGTATGGTTTTCTTCCCGTGCGCTTCCAATCACTGCGGCTCAGTGATTGTTCTGCAGCTATTAGCTGTTGCTTCGAAACTGGAATGAGAACGTCCATACCCTCAGCCTGCTGGTACTATCATACCAGTGACCAAGACATACTTATTCTCTGCTGTGCATCTCTTCCACCTGCGAAACAAACACAACAGTAACAGCAAGGCCATTCACAAGGTCAAGCTCACGTCCATGCATCATTCGAAACTTGGTCTGCTGCTATATCGATGCCCACGACACCTCCAGCTCCTGTGACGTGTTCTGCTAAACCAAGAACAGTAACCACGGGGCCACGGCCTCTTCCATCGCGAGCTTATTTCGTCCTTTTTCTCTGCAGTGTCTCCCTCCCATCAGTAACACTACAGCACGGTGAGCTAAATCCCGGCACGAAGACTACCAATAGTTCTTCGTACGTGAATAGGACGGAGTCCGTTCAGCATGCATATAGGTCGAAATCGAGGAAGTATCCCCGAGACAGATCACGCGTCATCAACACATCAAAAAATGTCTTCATACGTGAGATGAGCGTAGGAATGAGGCCAAAGACAATGTGATACATACGGTCTTGTTGTCCATGCGATTTGGACTTGATCTTTTTCTTCCAAAAACGCTGAAGCGTACTTGTTGTGTTTGAGGCTCGTTCATGAATTTGTAGAAATTCGTGTTGATGCCTGCATGGCATAAGTGCCACCGTCATCGTCTTATTTGACCTAGGATTGGAGGATTGATGCATGCCTATGAAATGACCTTCCAAACGAAACTCCTGGACTCGCGGCACCTGTCCATGGGATACCATTTTCGCAAGACATGTTTAAGTTGATATGATGGTAGATTCGATGGATCACATTGACGTCCCTCAAAGACCGTGTCGATACTCAGGTCATGCGATACGACATCTGATGGAGAAGGATGTGCATTTGAGAGGGGGGTATGGTGGCAACACTCATGATACATTCTATTGGCTGTTCGATATGAACACGTACCTCATTTGAAAATGAAAGTCCACCCTAGAAATAGACGCTGTTCCATAACCTGCAGACGTGTTAAGAGAGTCGATGTCATCAAATTCGAAGGTAGACGAGATGAAACGTGCAGTAGGTAGGGAGTGCAGCACCCCGTCGAATGTTAGCTATAACTATCAAACATAGTCCTGACATATAGGAAGATGGACATAGCACCGGCCAGACGCGAGCGCTTGATCTACACAGCAATAAGCTGTGGAGCGAACACGAGGATGACGCATGGGACGCACCTTGCAAAACGCTTGAACAAACGGGTGTCCAACTTCCTCAACTACCAACCAGACACCCTGGGAGTCTGATCGCTGGTCTTGCTCGTAAGTGATACTCTAGGTTTTTCTGCAGGATACAACTGACGACACGCTTACCAGCAACTTCGGATACCCACAAAGATCTCTTGCAAATTTTAATTTCTCAAATAACGGCGCAGCACCTCCTCCATAGACAGTCCCGAAGTAAGCTTCTGGGTAAGGATTGGATCCTGTAAGGCTGTCTTAGCAGTGGCTTGTGTGCTCTGACAAGAATTAAAGTGAAAAAAACAGGTTCCTGGACCCACCAGAAATTATTGCTGTTGCCGGATCCCGCCTCTCTCGCATACATAGTCCCCAATTTGCCATAGTTGAAATACCGAGCGCCGATCATGTCTTCCTCTACCAGCAAGACGCCAGCGATCATGCCACGTCAGACAATGAAAGGTCATACCGACTGGGTAAATGATATTGTATATCTACACGGTGGATGTCACATCATCACATGTTCGACGGACGGCTCACTCCGGCTATGGGACTTGGAGAGCGGCACACAGGTGGAAGAGGACTGGGAAGATGAAGAGGATAGCGCAGGAGTGCGGTCCATGGCATTGTCTCCAAATGGCAAGACAGTTGCAAGTGGATGCGACGACGGAAAAGTGAGATTGTGGAACGTCGAGACGAGGGAGGTCGTCGCGAAATGGATAGGACATACCGATCTTGTGGGTGCATTGTGCTGGAGTGCAGATGGCAGTCGAGTAGCGAGCGGATCCTGGGATGGGACGGCAAGAACCTGGGATGTCGAGAGCGGCGAAACTGTCCTGACAATCGAAACCGGACACCAGTGGGTGAACACGGTGATATACTCGCTCGATGCAACAAAAATCGCAATGGGCGGACGCAACGAGGATGGGATCAAAATCTGGAACACCATGCCAGCCGAACTGTTGAGCACGCTCAAACACAATCATCCTGTTTGGAGTTTGGTATGGACGTTGGATGGAAAGAAACTTATCTCCGGTTCATACGGCCCGATTAGGATATTTGACACAACCACTTGGGAGGAGGTCGCTATCCTGGAGGGTCACACAACCCATATCAATGCCATCACCTTGTCTCAAAGTGAACGCCTACTTGTAAGTGCATCATATGGAAAAACGGCGCGTCTATGGAATCTCGACACCAACCTCCCAATCGAACCACCCTTCCAGCACGAAGATGCATTGTGGTGTGCAGCCCTTTCTGCTGATGGAAA